GTAACCAGCACTGCAGGGTGAAACAGGCATACTCATAGTGTAGGAAAAGTTTTATCTTAAAATTTTATTGTTTTAATATAGCATGGATAAATTCTAGTGTATTACAGAAGATAGTTATTAAATCATATTAATAATTTTGTCAACAGTGATTTAATGTATCTGTATTTTAACTGAGATGCTAGTTTAATAGGCTCTGTTTTTTACCTTATTTTTCTGTTGCTTGTTCTCAGATGCAAATCTGAGAAAACACAATGTTGCATAGGTTGTGTACTGTCAGATCTTAGTATGTAAATTAGATGGAAAGGTAGCTTGCAGCATCATCATTATGATTGGATTGCTGGTCTCTTGGTAGTTCAGGGTCATGCATCCTATGCGATTTCTAGTGAATTTCTTTCCAATGTTGAGTAAAGTTTCATAGAGGGCTAGGAGTTGCTTTATTTTTATTTGTGAGTTCTTAACATTGAGTCTGCAACAGTAATAATGCTGAAAGAAAACTGTTTGCATTCAGATTTAAAATTGGAAGAGAAACAGAGCAGGAAACAGAGAAGTGCTATGTCAAAGCTGTGGAAGATATTGGTGGAGAATCCTATTTTCTTCCTCTCCTCTACTTAGTCTTTCTTCTTTCCTAGTTAGAGGCATTCCTAGATCGTCTTTGGTGTTTCTGATGTATTCTGTGGGGTTGTTATTAAAATGGAAAAATCCACCAAACTATAAGCTGCTTTGTGCTCAAAAATCATAGCTGTGTATCTGTACTGTTTAAAAATTGAGTCAGGCACATCACACGCACCGCTTCTGGACCAGAACTGTAGATGAAACTTCATGCTTGTGAGAGAAACAAACAAAATCTGCCCAGTTCAGATGAGAGTATTGTTTGACACTGTAACTGCTTAGTATAACTTAAGAAACAGAAAACCAGTGAAACACTGCTCTGAAAATTCCAAGTTGTTCGACTTTTTCAGTATAACTTATAGTATGAAATGTCCATGGGATCAGGGATGTAACGAGACTGTAGATACAGATTTGTAATTTACCAGGTTTCTAAGTATAACTACAAGGACTTTTTAATTTGTATGTTTTTTTATCAAAAATCATAGGGCAAATGTATGTGTTTGTGTGCACATATGAATGTATGCCGTTTGACTTCACAGTGAAGGGCAGAACAAGCTAGGAAGGCTAGTAGAAGGTAACTTCTGTTATCTACTGAGCTGTGAAATTAAAGAAGATAGTTAGGTGAGCAAAAGAAAGCAACTTATTGTGTACTGGGCAGCACAGTCATCATCTATGACAAGAATTATTGGATGGAAAAGTAAATGCTATTTTGTTAGTATCGGTCACTCTCCAGCAAGTAGTGCAACTATCAGACAAGATGATTTGCTAATAGGTCAGGATTAATTCCTGCACGTGCTGCAAGCATATTTTGCATTTTCTCAGTCATGGGAAATCTTTAAAATGTTCTGATTGCTGTCTGGGTACATAACACGCAGTTTGCACTTATTGATACACAGAAAAGACATTTTAGCAAGCAAAATCTAAGAGGATGTATTTTAAGCATATTGAATAATAAAAATAATCTAGAATACTAAAAATAATTATTTTGCCAACAGCCTATGTCATATGTACATGCTCACGTCTGTATGTATGCACACACAGGTGTTATATATAACAGTATCATTGTGTTTTAGCAAAGCTTAAAGGTGTTGATTTACAGGAGGGAAGTGTACCTGTACGTGGGCGACCTGTCTGTCCAAGGTCCACACTTCTACGAAAGTCAGTATTTTAAAACTCTGTTGGATTACTTGTGATCTTGCTATGTCAATGATAAGTACAGGACGGACACATATTTAGTATGGGTCAAAAAGATTTTTATCAAACAGACAATTGCAGTTTGACATGCTATTAGAAGATTGAATCTTTTATTTAGAATCTAAGGTAACTTCTGTCTGTTTCCTGTTTCCTTGGTTTTTTTGGAAGGAAGATTATAGAATATTACAATAAAGTCCTTGTCATCTCAGTAATACAAATGTTAATAATTAAAATATTTTAGTATTTTAGTGGTTAAAAATTCTTCTTTTAATCGTGTGCTTGTTTCTTTTCACTTCTTATTCTTCATTTTTTAGAAGTCTATACTGTTGTCATAAAAATATTACATATATTTTTTGAAATAGTGACTAGTGATTACTCTCATGGATCTAAATCATTAGGTTTTTATTTTGCCTTCTGTAATGAGAAAGGTTCTTTGTGCACATCAGGGCTAACCAAGTTTCCTCACTGTAGCACAGAGCCAGCAGTTCATCTCTTGTCCCGATTCTACATCTGAAGAAGGATACATTTATTGGATAAAATAACCCATTGTTCAAGTCAGATTGAAGTGGGATTTGAGTGTTGCATGCCCAATAAAGAGAATGAATTTTATTATTTCCACAAGGATAATGATTTTCTGCAGAGGAGGACACAATGTCTTGCCATTTCTCCACTGTGGGTGCCTCCCTCCCCTACCCCCCCCCCCATTCATCCTTCTGCAAGTCAAAGTCCATAAGTGTAAAGGGCATGGGGGCATGGGAGTGGGTGAAGTTAAGGGGAGCCCCTCACCAGGGACCCTGACTGATACATTCGTGGGCCCATCAGGGACAGCTCAAGGGCAGAACTCCCCTTTCTACAGAGGAGAATCCCCTCATCCCTGCATGATGTGTCTTGGAACTTGCACATCCTTTGGGTGGCAAATGTACTTGTGGTTTGCCTGACTGGAGTCAAAGAGAAGGATGAGTCCAAGATGTTTAGGAGACACTCGCTGCACAGTGCTGCTCCTCCCCCTGTTTGTAAACAAATACTGTAATTCAGTAATAATTAAGTACTTGTAGCTCAAGCAGTTTATGAACTCCTCCAAAAGGACACAGTACTGTCATAGATGTTCTGACATTGAGTTGCAAGCTAGAAGAGAGCTAAAGACTGGGAGATAGCTCCGTATTGCTTGTGCAAACTTAAAAACACAGATTTTCACTGGTAGGTCAATGTAAGGTCTGTGCAGAGATGTGATTATATCTGGACTCTGGATATATATATCTGGATGATAAATACGTGATTTCTGAATGCACATATACAAACAAACACAAAATTTGCAGCATGCTATTATACATATCCTGCCCCTATACTCAGTGTCAAGTGAGTAACATCACTTGTTTAGCTTCCTTTGTCACACAGAAAGCTCTCTGCTTCAGTAGTTCTCCTTCCTTGTGTCCCACTTAACAAGGGCAGTTTGCTCCACTGGGCACTGGCCCTCCTGCAAATACAGAGAAGGATCTTTTCTGTATGGTAGAAGACTGAAAATGTCGCCTTGTCAAGAAATTGAGATGTGGTCATTTTTGCTTTAAAGTCTGATTAATACCTAAGAAGAGTTGCTTTGTATGTTGTAATATTCTGCTAAAAACAAAATGCAAAACAAAAACCTCAGGCTCTGTACTCAGCCTTTTCCTTTTACAGGAATGATGATGCCATGTAAGTCAGCAAATTCTTTTCTTCTCTCTTCCTTTTTCTTCTCTCGCTTTTGTAGAAGGGTAGCGTATTTCTGTTCCTGGTCTCTGAATCACTGTGGGGAACACAACTGCAGACAGCAGCAGCATCATTTTAACCTGTCATTTGGTTACCCAAATCTTAAAATGAAAGCATTATCCCTTGAGATTCAGTCACTCCCAGAGATTTAAATTCATATAGTATTGGTCCATAGGCATCACTGTTAGCATTCTCATATGTGATACCTGCTGCTTTATGAAAAAATATGGGAAGAAGCTGACTGACATTAGATACCCAAAACACAAGCATTTAAGGCTGAAAAGAAGGGTGAGGGAAATATGGAATTAGGTAAGCTCAAGCAGAAGTGAATTAAAAGCAGAACTTTAAAGGAGATCTGTTACTCCTTGAAAAGAAGCAGCATACTGCAATGTGCTTCGGTCAAGAACAAGAGCCTGCCTTTTTTTCTTCAAAGCACTTTTGGTTAGAACCTAAGATTACGTTCAGCAAGTTTTGTACTTCATTTTAGAATTGTTTCGGAAGTGGTGGCTTTCATAATTGGAGGAACAAATAGACAGTTCTCAGAGGCACTGTGGGGTTAAAATCCAGATCTCTGTGCTTTAACCACACAGAACATGCACAGAGAGCTAGGACAAGATAACAGAGAGCTTAAACTCAAAAATGCACGCCTCTTCAAGTTGGTTATCTGTAGCTTTTTCCCCTCCCTCAGCTATTTTCTTGGCCTCTCCCTTGGATGTTCCTGCTTTTACTGCGTGGATGACACATCAACCAACAAGCCAGCCACCGAACTGCTGCACATCGCAGCTTTGCGTGCGAAAGCTGAAGGGTTTGCAGCAGTTAATCTTAGTATGCAGGGCTGTTCATTTTGTTTGTTTCTAAACTGAAGGTGGAAAACTTGCAAAAGAAAAGAATCATAACCAAATGAGCAGCTGCATAGGAAGGGGATGGTTCTTTGCACATTTGTACTCTAAGGCATGGGTACACTTCAGATAACAAAATCTTGCCTGTCTTCCTACTCCTATCTCATTGCTAACTTTCCTAACAGCAGTGGCAATCAGTGTTAGAGAAAAGCAAGAAATGAAGATGTTAGAAGCAAAACATTTTGTTCAAGCTGCCGTCTAAATAGTTAAAAGCTATTTTTTCAAAGTTGTACTGGTGTCTGTGTCCTTCCCAAACTAGCACATACCCCACTTGCCCTGGATTTTACCATGTCACAGGCTGTTCATGGGAAAGAATTAAATATGACTTGCTAGTCACTGTATGCGATGTGTCCCTTCCCTCCCTCTCCACCATGCAGCAGAAATGATGGAGATTTAATTAGACCAAATCAAAACCAGCTTGTAGAAAACAAATATGATTTAAAATTGTTTTCATAATCATGCAGTGGTTTAAATTGTATTTCTTAATGAATCCTTATAGTACAGCATCTAACAGTGGAAACCACTCTAGAGCTAATTTTATTGGTCTTTTTGAAGGGCGTTAGGACTTTTTAGTCTGATAGACAGTTTGTGGCCTCCAGTAGTGCCTGTAAAAGTTCCTGGACAAAGTCAAGACTCTGAAATGGTAAGTCTTGTTATTATGGAAATGTACTTTTTCACTACAATTACTGTTTTTCTTAGTAGTGTAATGTATCTGGGGGATCAGATTCTCTCTTTATCTAATGATGTTTGTTTTGTTGGTTCCACCATCTATCCTAGGCCAACCTGAGACTCTCTGGATCAGTAGCTTCTTTCCAATCTGATGCAATCAAACTTTTATTAACCATCTAGAACTAAAATGATAGAGTATCCAGCCAAATTATTCATTTCCTCTCCTCACAGGAGGAAAAGATACCAGCTGGCTCCACGCTATCTGATAAATCTACATGCATAAATGATGCATTCTTTTGAAGAACTTTTCAGCCTTATATTTGAAAACACTCTTCTGAAGATCAGTCCCTATGAGGACAGACCAACTGATGGAATCGAGTCTCTTTTCAGTTAGGATGATTCTGGCTGACAGTTGTCCATCCTGTTGTGAAGGCAGTCAAAATATAAGAACGAAAATTGCCTACTAAAAGTAATAAAAGTTTCTGTGATTTTGGGAAGTGGTGAAAATTCCCAACATGAAGTATTAAAATAGATTTCAAGTATATTATTATACATTTTCCAATCCAAAATTGCATCTTTAATTTTCATTTAATTAGCTTTTGTATTTGAAAAGGAGTTCTGTCAAATCAAGTGGCATCTGAAATGAAAAGCTCATTTGAGAATCTTGGTAACCAAGTGCTTGTGCTGTCTTATAGCTGTTCCTCTACAGCTGTTCTTAGGGGAGGAAGTTTCTGGTATTAAAAATTTATTTTAGAGTCTAGGAAGAAAAATCTGGAAATAAGCAAATTTTAAAAACAGAGGACTTCACAAGAGGATATTCCTAGTTATTCCTAGCTATTTCTGAACTCTGAGATTCTTCTTGCTGCAATCTACAGAGTTATTGGGATTGTACAGGGATTTATTTTGAATAATAAGAAGTTCAGAACTTAGTTATAAAACCAAGACTGGAAATGAATGAAACTACCATTCTTGCTTTGATTCTCCCTTTCATCTACACATTTTAGAAGTCTCAGAGGAGAGGACTGTTTTGTATGTTAAAATACTGTGGACAACAATGAAAATTTACATGGATGGAGCAAAACTTTTAAATATTCTTCAGCATTGTTATTTTCATTTGTTCTTCTTTTTCTCTATTTTATTGACAACCTAGAAATGATGAAAACTTTCCATAATCATGCAGTTTACACTTCTGCCACAGGTTTAAATACCAATCCATTCTACCGGGTATCAAGATGTATTCTACTTCTGCAAATTTTTGGTAAAGTGCAGGTTTTTTAGCTGAGATACATTTTACCTTTTACAAGAAGCATAGTTTTACATAGTTTTTGAAAGCACATCCGACACCAGGCTGAGTGGTGCAGTCGACACGGTTGAAGGAAGGGATTCAGAGGGACCTCGAGAGGCTAGAAAGGTGGGCCCAGGTGAACCTGGTGAGGTTCAACATGGCAAAGTGCAGAGTTTTGCACTTGGGCCGGAGGAATCCCAGGCATCCGTACAGGCTGGAACGAGCGGTCCATGAAAGCAGCCCTGTGGAGAAGGACCTGGGGGTCTTGAGAGATGAGAAACTTAACATGAGCCAGCAGCGTGCCCTTGCAGCTCGAAAAGCAAATGTTATCCTGGGCTCCATCAAAAGAGAGGTGACCAGCAGGAACAGGGAGGTGATTGTCCCCCTCTACTCTGCTCTTGTGAGGCCCCACCTGGAATACTGTGTCCAGGTGTAGAGCCTGCAGTACAAAAGAGACAGGGAGCTGTTGGAGAGGGTCCAGAGGAGAGCCACGAAGATGATCAAGGGGCTGGAGCACCTCCCCTACAAAGACAGGATGAGGCTCATGGGCTTGTTCAGCCTGGAGAAAAGAAGGCTGCGGGGTGACCTCATTGCAGCCTTTCAGTATCTAGTGGGAGCCTACAAACAGGAGGGGAATCAACTCTTTGAAAGGGTTGATAACTGCAGGATGAGGGGAAATGGTTTTAAGTTGAGGGAGGGGAGATTTAGGTTGGATGTCAGGGGGAAGTTCTTTACAGAGAGAGTGGTGAGGTGCTGGAACAGGCTGCCCAGAGAGGCTGTGGATGCGCCGTCCCTGGAGGTGTTCAAGGCCAGATTGGATGGGGCCCTGGGCAGCCTGGTCTGGTATTACATGGGAGTTGGTATCCCTGCATGTGGCGGGGGGGTTGGAGATTCATGATCCTCAAGTTCCCTTCCAACCCGGGCCATTCTGTGATTCTGTGATTTAAGCAACAATGCCTAAATCATACTGCCAATTATTTGATGAAGTTTCTGCAAAGAGATCTGTGGCACGGACTTGCATATCTTTTATAGTGCTGTCAGAGGCAAATAATGAGCTCGTGCCTTTTTTTTTTTTTTTTTTTTTTTTGCTATAGACAGATTATTTGGATATGGATATACAGCTGTCTTTAGCAGATTTGTATTTATTGTATTAAATGAAATGCTTTATTAACAACTAACAATGTTATAAGAATATTTACCGAGTCCAAAATAAAAATTACTGTAGTGTAGCATCTTTTATTTCTCAGAAGCCTTTCTCATTCTTTAAATGGAGATAGGGTTGTTACGTCACAATACTTTTTAAGGGGAGAAGAAAAATTCGGCATAACACAAAAAAAGCAGTTCTTGTAGTTGCTGAGTTCCTGTTCTTCATTATCTCCTTGTGCTGTCCTGGATTTAATTTAGCAGCTTTTAAAGTTCTTCAGCTGTTTACTATCACAAAAACCCACCCACATGCAGAAGTCCCCAAATCTCAGAAAAGTTATGGATGATGAGAAATAAATAATCAGGGCACCCCTACCACGTGCTAAAAAAATGCAAAACAAGCACTGTCACCTTGAAAAAGTTGCAGTGTTTGCCAAGCGTGCCAAATCACAAGATGTTTTTGTGATGAGGATCGATGTCAGATTATGGAAAGAATGATACACAGGCTGATTTCACTTAGAATTTGTGAATATTGTTTTGTTATCTCAGCTTCTACTTCAGACAGTCATTATTTTGTTTTCCCATCGTTCTTAATAAGAAAATTGTGTGGTTCATTTAGGACATTATTATAAAATAATACTAACTGGACAAATTGAAATGCCTTTTTTAAGGTCACATTTCTTTTCTCTCCTTTTTAATAGATGACAACTAATCTGCCTCCTCCCAGCTTCTGTTATGTTCTGACTGTTCAGTCTGGTGAAATACACATGGAAGTGGATGAGGAAGAGACGATTTCTAAATTGTACCAGCCACCAACTGTGCATAATCTAAAGGAAATTCTTCAGGTAAGTTGCTTTCAAAGTCTGGTAACCGATGTTTTGTACCACTAAATTTCACTTACCATATTTGACTCACTCCCTGTTTTTGTACTTTTTTTTTTCAGATGGGTGGTTGTCATGAACGTTGTAGCTTTTGGGCACGAGTACTGTATCTAAGGCCACAGGTAATCTGTTCATTTAGCAATAAGATTGACATAAAATTAACATAACGTTTGTGTGAAGAGGCCAGCATTTATCTTGTTTAGGGGAGAGTAAAAAAACCTTCTGGATTACCTTCAAGAGCTGTGCGAGAAGAATGATCACCAGGTCCAAAACGCTTGTGAGTGGGTAAAATGAACTTCAGTTTCAGTACCATTTACTCTAGAAGGTGAATTATATTTGAATAAATTGCCATCTAGCCCAAAGTAATATTTCACCCTAATAAAGGAGCTCACAGACAATTAATTTAGTCTTGCAATTTAAATCAGTTTGTAGGTAAGTGCTGTCCTTAGATGTACACAGCGAAAAGTTATTGGTCAGTTGAGTTGGTATAGAATGTAACTGGTGATGGTCTTATAAAGATACAGTTTTGCTCTTTGCAGGCAAGTGGGTGGACTGTTGTTGTTCAGCAGAAGCCCCTCCAGCAAACTTGGCTTTTAGGGTCCCGCAAGTAGAAAGGAGGAACTTTAGGTAAATACATGTGCTGTCCATGCTGTGCTGGGAAGCTTGTAATTACATTTTATTTGTTTCTGATTTTTTTCTGAATTATGCTACAACTTCCTTTTGAAACGTTGCTAACTCCCTCAGTAGTTGAAGGATTTTTTTGGCTGCTGATTTATTTACTCTTTCCTGGCAACTGGACCCTCAGTACAGCTAGCTCTGGGGAAAACAATTTGCAGTTGTCCATCAGCACCACAGAAAATAAAGCGTGAATCAAAGCATATGAACCAAACACAAAGAAACTCCAGAACAGACAGCAAAATAGTTGAGAATGCTTCCCAGCAGTATGGGACATAAATGTGATGTAGGTCTTTTCCTCTTGCTTCAGCAGCCTATGAGTTGTGATTTGATTGTTAGGCAGGGAGTAGCTTTAGCTTGTGAGAAGGGCAGCTCTTACTACTCAGCAGTGCTTTCTTCATGCTAAGTGACAGCAGAGTATTTTTAAACATGCAAAGTTAGGGTAGCTTAATGGGAGATCTTTAGGCTGCTAGCAGAAATGTACATGCTAGCAGGACATGTACATATGTGGAATTCTGTGGCGTCTGTTCAATTAACAGAAATAAATCAATTACAGACTAGTGATATCCTAGCCAAGCATTTTTGTATTAGGGAACATCTACATCTGAGACACTGGAGGTCATCAACATTCTTGTGTAGAATCACTTCATCACTAAATTAGAGAAAAGATGAAGAATGCAGAAACAGATGTGACTTTGAAGAGTAGAAATTCATCTAACAAGAAGAAAGAAATCTGTGATTCCTTCTTTCTTGAAGTTTTACTAGCTGTTTCCTGAATTTGCTTGGTGAACTATAAGCAGTAGATTTCTGTGAGTGAACAGCGTGATTTTTTATAAAATTTTTGAAAGTAGTATTGGAAAAGCAATGGGAGTTCCTCATCTTTGTAAGCGCTCGGTAACACTCTGCATTGCTGCTCTAGAAAGCTCATGGTATTTACCTGCTGTTAGTGTAGTGTTTCCTAATCCTTCCAGAAAGTTATGAGCTTGTTAATTGCAGTTACCTTTCCCAAGAGGATTTATTCTTCACGTGCAAAACCTTTCGGTGATGATAACTGAGGTAGGGACTATGGTTTAGTTCATTCAGCAAAGATAATCTGCAACATGAGTTAATTCAAATATACTTTAAAAGTGGTGTTAATAAAACACTGAAACAACAGTGTTCTGAGATGCTTCGTTTGTGTGAAGGAGGAATGGGAATATGCTTTTATTATTGCTCAGTACTGTGGTACAGAAGGAATATGGGGAAATATATTCCATCTGTGGTTAAGGAGCTGTCCTTCCTTGTAACTCAGTCCTGCTGCTATTTGTCTGTTGTGTCCTCTCTGTTCAGAACAAATTGTCACACATAGCAAGATGATGATTTTATATAAGTTGAAATTTTTGCTGTTATTATTATTTGCTTTTTTTGGATGATTCTTCTGAAAGACAGCTTTTAATGTGTTAGTAATTCTCATGGGACAGCTGTAAAGCATCTTCCTTTTGAAGCTGCTTTAATGGTATCTGCACAGAGGAGGTACTCAAACGCACGTAGTTATGAGGGAAAGAAATAATGTAAATGCATTAGGCAACTTACGTTAAGGCATAACCATAATATCTGAGTTATGAATTATATCTGTCATTACTCCTGATTACTGTATTTGCCCTAAGAGCTGCCATTACGGGCAGAAGTTATTTTTAGTCCAGTTAACTTTTTCAAGGTGTGAATTTAACTGAAGATAAAAAGTTGGAGTTCTCAGTGCGTTGCCTTGTGCCACAGAAATGTAACTTTAAGGATAAAATACTTGTGTGATATGAGTCTCTCCAATCATTGCAGTATTAAAATGTCCTATGATTTTTAATCAATACACTAATTAAAAATAGTAACAAAGCCCTTTTAAGGCAAAAGTAAAATAATTTCACTTAAATATTGTAAAATATTAGAATTTTTAAAATTACAAGTTGCTTGGACTGGTAAATATGAAATATAATCTTACTAAGCTCATTTTTTTCTAAACTATGGGAAAAATCACAGACACGTGTACATATTATAACAGTTGTGTTGAAAACAAAAAAAAGAAGGAAACCTCTCATTATCAACCTATCTAATTTTGTTAGAGCCTTTGGACTAATCCCTGATGTGTAAATTCATGTCTATCTAAGCTGTCTTGTTCATCATCACAGTGTCAGTGTTTTAAAACGCTACTGACTTAGCAGTAACTGTTTTCAGATACGAAGAAATACAATGTGAAATGTAGTTATTTTGCTTGTGACATCATTAGTTTTGATATACCTTAATTTTTGTACCTGTCTTAGGCAGAAAACTTGCATTGTCATTGTGATTTCCTGCGTTTCTTTCTTATGAGTTATCTCCTTTCACACTTCTATGTATCATTCAAATACCTGCGGATGTGCAGAAAGAAAACCCGGCAGCTTTGTATTTGCAGGAGCTATTAAACAGGGTGAGGTACTCTTCAGAATCACACAACAGTGCATAGAACATTTTCTTAATAATACAAGTGATGTTAGCCTTTCTTTTTTAAGGGAAAAATTACTTTAGTCTTTGTTCATAGAAACATCCAATTAACTTTTTATGGCATTTATTTTCATGTGCAAATGAGTCACGATAAAACATGACAGTTGATAGAGAGGGCACCAAGATCTCCGTGGGTCAGCTTTGGAAAGTTAACTGAAGGTAGAGAGGATAATCTGTAACTGCATTAAGGAACAATGAAAAACCTGATTCATTCTTCTTTACTGGCCGTAAGTGTAGTAATTTGTCAGTTTTATTGGTTGCTTACAAATGAGTGTGTTACTTGTCTTTTCTTCTTCCAAAAATTAATGACTGCATTCTAATTTTGAATTTTTTTATTTTTTTAAATCATAGACAAAACACAGTGTTCCTGTAAATCAAAGAGAGATGATGTTGTTTGTGACTGACTTCACTTTGCAAAGTGTAGTTCGTGGAATTCCAAAAGTTGTTGCTGTGTCAGTCACTGCATCATGTGTTCTCAGTACGGAAATCATAGAAGCCCTCAATGTTGCCTCACGATTCATCTTCTTCAAGGATGCCCTGTGGGGAAATGGTAAGCTTTACGTGTGGTTTTGAAGCAACTGGAATCAAACTGAATGAACACCCGCGTTACTAACACTGTAATACGTAACCTGTATAGACTTCCACTCTGAGATGAAGATGAAACATTGCAAGTTTGGGATGAGAAACCTGAAAGGGGTTATAATTGGAGGATTTCTGTAAGGTTTCTCTTCTGTTGTTGTTAGTTTTGGGTTTTTTTTCTTTGTCTTCCAAGAAAATAAGAAATTAAGTGATCTTACCATTTATTCACCAATATTTCTATCAGTCTTCCTTGATGACTGTTGAATCTAAAGACCAACCTCAAACAAATTTGCTAGCTGACAGAAGATTCAGAAATATTAAGAAACTTACTTTCGTTTGTTTTGATATTCATTTGTACTGATATTTGATTGCAGAATCTTGTTTTATTGAACTTGCAACCTGCAAAAGGAGTAAGGCAATGAACCTAAAGACTTGCATGTCCCTAGATAAAAAGCCATTACAGGCTTTCTTTTACCATTTCAGCTGTGAGCTCTTGGGTGCCAAGCAGGTCCTGTGAGATGGTGGTTCAGTCTACATTCTTTTCTAGTCGTTTGTATGAATGAGGCTCACCCATCCTTCTGTGTGATGTACGCCTGTGTTGTAATTCACCTCTCATGCCTTTGCTCATTTCCAAAATGCAACTATTTAAGTGGCTGTGAGTCCTGTCACCACATCCTCTAATCAGTGTGTTTTCCCTTGCTAACTGAGGTTGCATTGGTTTCGTTTATTTGGAGAATAAAGTATTGCATGCACCTACGCTTTGTAATCTTAAACAAACAAAAATAGCACAACCTTGAGGGCGACCAAGCTTTTTACTAGGGAAGAGACAAGAACTTTCTGTTTCCAGCATGGTACAGTGTAGTCTGGATGGAATCTGCTTTGCTTTGTAACATGTTAGAATTTTAGAGAATTGTTTTCCCCGAGAGTCACAAAATGTAACAAGAGCATGCTGCGTGTATCACTGAAAGCAAAATATTTTGTCATTGAGAAAACCTGGTAGAGTCTATCCATCTGTTTAGTAGCTGGCAGTGACAAATGTCTTTATTGGCCATGACAGTTATCATGGTCACCTTTTTCCTTGTTACTGTACTGAGTTGAAATGTCTTTGTTGGCAGGTAGGATTATTTGTGTTGAACGTACTGTTCTCTTATTACAAAAGCCTCTTTTGTGCTCGGCTGCTGATGCTGACCTCAGTGAGCTGCCTGGCCCTGTCAAACTCGATGAGCTGGATTCTACCACACAGGCCAATTCCATTTGTGCTGTGAGAGGTTCGTATTGGCCTTTTCTGAAATGAATGTGGTTAATTATTTGTGTTCACTTTAATCTTTCAGGTTCTCGTATTGATTTCTTGCACAAACAGGGTACAAGGATGAAAAAGCACCGTACTGCTGTAGATCATTAGGATATTTAAGTTTTTGTGCTTCTTTGTGGGCTTTGTTTGTCTTTTGCTGGCCAAATTCTGCCTGCCTGCTGCTCCCACTCACTGATGCCCCAGAATAAATGTTTGATGCGCAGTCTGTTTGGTCATATTCCTTCCATCACCATCTTCTTTCAGAAGCCTTCTGTTCACATCACCATGTTGATACTGGCAACAGTAAGGGATAACAATATTTTTCAGGCAGATGGAGAAGATATGTCAGCCAGACTCTGAATGATAGGGGTTACTGTCTAATTTTCCTGGAGCTTTGCTGCAGTGGGGCAATTTAGTATTTCACCACATTCACCAAGCTTAACTTAGCTGAGATTTGCTTACCAGCCACTTTGGATCATTGCCTTGTCTGATAGTGTAGTCCTACTGCTAACCGTGCAGAAACATTTACTGCAGTGTATTTTCTAATATTTCTGAATTGTGTAGAAACATTTCATACAAAGCATCTTCTAACACTGTTTACTCAGACTTCTTAAGCACCCAATTTGCAGAGTGCCTGTAGGGAAAAGCCCTTAAAAGCCAAGTAACTTTTGGCTTTTAAAGACATTTTCCCTTTTTAATCTAACTCTTACAATTCCAGCAGCCCTTGTACAAAATTCTTGACACCGTTTTACATTTACACTTCCAAGTATTCACTTGAATGTTTGAAATGATGTTTGAAATAAGAGCAAATAGTAATTACAAATTAATTCTCTCAGCTATACAGCAATACAGAGAAAAGTCCGTTTTAAACCACTCAAAGCTAAACCACTAAACTTACCTTCTCTAGGTAGAGCCGCAAGTTAGCAATGCCTCCATGATTGATATATAAGCCATCTTGAAGTGACAAACATTGAACTCTATATAATGAAAAACAAGCACAACTACAGGCTCTCTAAGCTTTGGTCATTATCATTCCACTGATACCGTGAGGTACTTGAAAGATATTTCTGTCACTGGGTAGGAAATGCTTTTTATTTTCACTTCTGCAGTAGTTATGCTAAGAGTTACTACTCCTCTGCCCTTACTCACTGCAACTAGGTTACACTAATAACTAGGTTACCCAAAGCACCTGTCTTCTTTCATCCCATTCACAGTGAATATAAAGCAAAAGTGCCTGTCCTTTTTTTTTTCAGTAAAGCAAGGCAAAGACATCTTTGTAATCCATGTGTAAACAAACGCTTACTTTACGTATGTTAGAGGTGTAACACTTTCCTTGTTCTTTATTAAAGATGGTAGAATGACATCAGGATAAATTAATCCTACAATCTCGTCATGCTTGATATGAAATTTGCCTGGGGTAGCTACTATCAGTATGTTTCCACACCTTTGAACCAATGTAGAATATGAAGCATCATCCTTAACCCTATGCTACTGCTATATATAGATTGCAACCTTCACTTTTTTGTGTAACTAACTAAAATTATTTAATTGCATTTAAAACATATCCACTGCTTTGGGATTTGGTAGCTAATGCTTACAGCTTACAGCTTTCTAATGAAAAGAAGTGAAAATAATAATATTAGCACTATTTTATTGGTGGGAACATGAATTTGATGGAGAAAAATTGTCTTGGTCACTCACTACCTCTGTCTCATCTATAAAAAACTCACCAAATGGTTAATCTGACTTTCAGTGAGCAGCAGGATTGCTGTGTTCACTGTTTTTCTCTGTGTCCTCCTTTTACTTCCCTTACTGTTGGTCACCTTCGTGTGCTGTGTGCAGGCGTCCTCTCATCAAATGTTGAAAGGAGCTGCAAAGGCTTTCTTTACCCCTACTTGAAGTGTTGCTCCTTCGTGCTCTTTTGCCCTACTTGCTGCACCTCTGCCTTTCAGGGAGCTGGCAGAGTAGTTTCTCAACCTTCACTAGAAAAGCTTCCTTTTAATCAGTGGAACAGCCCTTGGAGCAGATTGTCTTCATGTGTTTGTAACAGTGTTCTGCTAAATGAAGCCTTCCAGTTATACTTGGTCAAATCCTTTCTCCCCCATCAGAAAAATGGGTGACAAGCATAGCCACTGAGTTTCTCACAAATTTCATGAAGGCCCGATCACACCCACTCAGGTACCTGGTAAGAACCTGTGATTGCTTTCCACAAGGCAGTTTATTCTTCTTTCCAGGATCAATCTGTGGTTCTCACCTGTGAGCCGAGGGTTAATGGATTTGTTTTCACTATTCATGCCAGAGTGATTTGTAACGTCTTTTTGCCATATAGTAGCAGTCAGTGTGACTTAAATGCTGGCAGTCCACACTGTAGAGAGCTGCTCTTAATCTTAACCATGCTTACGAGCAAATTCTAGTTAGTTCATACCACGTATGCTGCGTGGGACTATTACGTGATTAATGATGTTTGCCTAGTGTATGATTCACATCCAGTGATTGAATTTTTACACTGGATATTTTTGTCTTTAAGCCCTTACTCAGGTTTCTTTTTTTCAGTTTCCCTATTTGCAGTCTGAACAAAATGGAGTCAGTTGTCTTATTTAGGGCTTTTGGACTGCATCTTTTTTCTTTCCTATCTATTAATCAGGGTAACCAACTAACAGACAACTGATTGTGTACACACTTTTTTTTTTTTTTTTTTGGAGCATTTCAACCAGAGTGTTACTTTGAGTCCTTAGCCCTTCCTTGCATCCCTCACTCAAGATCTGTTTTTCCAGGTGTTGTCCTAATTGAGCTATTGTCAGTTTCTTCTCAGTGTTGTCAGGTACAATCCAGAAGAGTAGCGTGGAAGTGAAAAGCTAATTTTGGCTGTGTGTGTTTCCATTTGAAAGAAGGATCTTAGGAGAATGTCTAAAAGGTTTGAAAAAAACAAGCAAAATCTAAAAGATTTACAAAAATGTACAGATGATCAGCAGCTTAAAAATCACTTTGCATGCAGGATGCAAAAGACTGTTGCAGGATTCTTAGACATGCTGCTGTTTAGAGTTGTATTTCTTCTGACTTCAGTGATCTCTGGTGATCTCATGAGGGAACTCCATGTTTTCATCAAAATAAACTTCTCCAGTAGGCATAATGTCAGAATGATCCTGATACATCTTCCTCAAATGGATTTGTGTTGCTTGTGCACTGGCATCCTGTAGTTGCAGTATGGCACACAACTGGCAGAAAAATTCATACAGTGGCTTGGGTTGAAAAAGACCCTAAAGCCTCCCCCTGCCATGTGCAGGGCTGTCCCCCACCAGCTCAGCTGCCCAGGGCCCCATCCAGCCTGGCCTTGAGTGCCTCCAGGGATGGGACACCACAGCTTCTCTGGGCAGCTGTGCCAGTGCCTCACTGCCCTCTCAGTGAAAAATTTCCTCCTGACATCAAATCTAAATCTCCCCTTTTTTAGCTTGAAACTGTTCTGCCTTGTCATATTACTCTCTGCCATGTAAAAAGCCAATCTCCCAAGTTGAAATGTGTAGAGAGAAACAGATCTGTCAGAAAAGGGGATTTAAAAAAAAAAAAAAAAAAAAAAAAAGGTTGTTACAAAAAAGGAAAAAAACTCAGCAAAATAATCAGTTTTTTCTTTTCCATTAGCAAGGGAGCAAGCCCGTGCTGTGGCAGGAATTATCTGTCTCGCAAATGCTGATAGAAACCCACAGTGCATCACAATTTTTTTCCTGCTACAGTCCAAGAAGTTAAATATAAGAAAAAAAAAAAAAAATAGTGTAATCCATGTTATTTTGTTATATATACAGAAATCGGGTCATAAATGTTACATTTGAGAAGTTGCTTTCCTGGTCTTCAGGCTTGCTGTCCTTTGAATTCCCAAAGGAAATGTGGGTTTGCTGTTTATGTATCATTTCGTCCCTTCTGACAGCCCTTGTCTCAGGAGAGTCTGGAACACAAGAGATTAACAACCTGTTTTACAGACAGTGCAAATGCTCCCTGGTCTCCAGGGGCTTATTTCATTAAATCTATTATACAACTGTGAGATTCTGTTTCAAAAAGAGCTGGAATTTTTAGTCTGTGCACCTTTTGTACTAGACTGAGGGCTTATTTTACTGTAGTTTTGGTCTTTCCGCTGTTCCACCATGTTTAGTTCGAAATGCTTGTAAGAATTTTCTCCATAAACAGTGCTAATTATTTCAGCATATCATTACCATAAGGCATAATAAACTCTTTACTGCTTCTCATAAAACTCAGAATGTTTTCTTGCCAAAACTCGCTAGGCCCTTTGTATTAGTCCAAAGTATCTTTGGCATTCCCTTCTTAAGCACACACTTCAATCTCTGGGTCAGATCTGATCTGTCTTAAATCAGCCTAGATGAAGAATAACTCTATTATTAATGGAGTTTAACTTGCATCATTGTTTTTGAAAATGGCCGAACTTGCTGTGAAGCCAGTAGTGTCTGTGTTTGCTAGCTTACATTTCTTATCTTGTAAATAAAAATACCATTTTCTGCAGGTACTGTTGTTGGAGTTAATGAGAGCACTGCTTTCTCCTGGCCTACATGTGACAGATGTGGCAATGGAAAGTTGGAACTGTATCCCCAGGACAGGTGAGAGTCAAGGTGCTCTGTAGAATTCCAGGTGTTCTGCAGATGTAGCCATAACAGCAATAGGTGACGAAATAATTCCTGCAGGCACAGGCTGCACTTTGTTCCTTCCTAGAACTGAGACGTAGTATTTTTATTGCTGATGAACTGATAAAACCAGCAAGGTTAGATTAATTTATTAAGAAAGATACAAGTAGATATGAAATGGTTTGAATTTGTAGCTACCACAGTTTCCAAGCTAAGTTTTTGCTTATAAAGATTTCAAATCCTACTGCATTGTAGTGTTTCTTTTAATGAACGTGCCACATAAATCACAGGCCTGATTTTAAGCTCCTTGAAAAGTATTTTTTTACCCAATATTGTTACCCTCTATGTCAGTAATTCACCACGGTTTTGTAGCAAGCTGTGATCTTTGCTGTGATTTACATAAATGTGAAAGAGATGCCTTTCAGACCAATGAAATGTACAGCCTTTCTAAAGAGGAAATTGAATAATTTTGGATGTAGAGCTGTCACAAATGTGACCTGTTACCATGTGAAAGGTTCAGCCTGCATCACACTGGCATTTTCTTGGGGAGTATCCCCTTCAGTTACTTAGCCAGCTTACTCTTGAGATACCTGGTGGGATAAAAGCATGAGGAGGTAAGAGAGTACTGAGTGTAAAAAGAAGGAAAGGGGCTTCTCTGTATTGGGAAAACTTCAAAAAAGCAGAAGTAGTAAGGTGATTACAGTCCCCTTGAAATATATACCATTTTCCTAAATACAAGAGGTTTTATTGCATGTGCTCTGCTGTGTAAAACCTCTGGGGGGAAAAGATGAAAATAAAGCAAAAGTTGTCCTACATGCTACTGTCGTGCAAAAATCAAGGAGGTATCCATGTACTCATAGTAGTGCACTTCATGATCTTTTTTCTGTATTCTCAAGGACGCTTCTGCTTTGTTTGGAGAACAATGTGGCATCAACACTTATTTAAGACCATATTCCATTGAGTACTTGTGCCTGTGCTTAATTTTGTGCATGTGGCTTAAGTGCGTGCGTGCTGCAAATGTTGAGTGTCTGCTCAGTGAGGGTCCAAATCAACAAATCATTTAGGCCAACTCTATATTTTTCTCTTTTTTTTTGGCCATAACTTTTAGAAGGTTATGTGATTAATATTTTATTACGTGAGTCGAGTATAGATCACAGCCTCCCCACATGTTGTATGAACGTAAGAAAAGAAGATACTTTTGCTAGAAGAGTTTAGATCCTCCATTAATGTTTCTTATGTCCACCAACAGAAGAGCTCCATTTGCTGTTATCAGGGTTTTTAACAGGGCTCTTCAACTAGAAGCCTATCAGCAAAGTGGTTAGGAAATAAGTAAGCTGTTCTTTGTTTGTTTGTGTTTTGATTTAATGATTGATAACTTTTCCATTCTTTGTGTTTTTCCATCATTATTTGCACGCTTCAGTGGACTGCTGTATTGCAGCCAGTGCTCTGAAGTTGTCATTTCACCCGTTATGAAAATGCAGCTGGAAGTCTTCTTGAGTTGTCCATCCCAATCTCAAAGTACAGTAAAAGTAAAGGTATGACAAAAAATGAGCATCAGTGTATGGAGTGTATTGAGGCTAGATATGTGGATACATGAGTACTGTAAATGGCAGTTTTGTAAAAGCTCTTTTAGAAGAAAAAAGAAAAGATGTAAAAGTATCCCATAATTTAATCTAATGCTGGACTTGTGTGTCATTGCACAGAGAATCCAGGTCCTAGATCTTGATCAAGTAGCACAGTCATTGAGCTCAGCCTGAGGTACCCAAAAAAATAAAGCATCAGGTCCAGCAGAAGGGTTTTCTTGGGTTGGGCTCTTGGGAAGCTCCCCACAGCCTGCAAGGAACTTGTATTTTCACATTCCTATTCTAAGCATCTTTTGTGTCACCTCTCCCCTGCTTTTTTGTCCGGAGAAATAAAACTATGCTACAATGGAATAATTTATCTTTGTTTAATGTGACTGTTTTATCTGTAAACAGAATGTTTTCCAACACCTGTAGTTTTTGTCATGATCAAAACATGTTCATTTCTTCTTTCCAGCTGCTACAAAGAACAATCTCTTCTCTCCTGATGTCTGCTGCCAATGTGGATGGGGTAGGTATAGTGGTTGTCGATGAGAGTTAAACTACATAGAGTGGCAGAGTCCTGAAGATGCTGTGAGTCAAAAGGGAAGATATTTGAATCATAGAAATGGAAGGGATGCTGGAGGTTGGCTGGATGTGGCTCTGGGCATCCTGGTCTAGAGGTTGGTGACCCTGCCCATGGCAGGGGGGTTGAAACTAGGTGATCTTTATGGTCCTTTTCAACCCAGGCCATTTTATGATTCCGTGGTTGGTGTCTGACCTGCCCCTCACACTGGGCTATTGCCAACACATGGTCAGGTCAATCGTGACTTCGTCTGGCAGGGTCTTGAAGACATCCAAAGATAGAGGTCCCACCACCTTTCCAGGCAGCTCTTCTCAGAACTGCACTGAAAGCAGTAGGAGATTTCGTTAGAAATATTTTTCCTCTTCTGTTCAGCCTGGTCCGAGTGGTTTGAAGTGTGTTAGTGTGCTCCTAGCACAAACCTCCCCTTTGGCAATTGCACCTTGCACCTGCTGATGCCCTGCTATTGCATCTCAGGGGTGCTGCAGGCAGGATGTGTAGACAGCTTTAGCTTAGATGTGGATGCACAGCTACTTGCAATAGCAGTGTCCAGACATTCAGAGCTACAGTGGGCAGTGCCAGGCTTTAGAGTCCACGGACAGTGAAGCTACAGTCTGAGCATTCTACCTTTCCTGGCTTCTGAACCCTATAAAAACAACCAAGGCACAAACACAAAATTACTGAGGGGCAGTAATGCTACAGCAAATTGCAAAATGCATGCAAAGTAATACTTTGTAATTGGGATCTATATAAATGAAATACACGTAAGTCGCTGGGATGCATGGGCTAAAGTGCAGCTTATGTAACCATGAAGTAGTTACTCCTTATTCTGGGCTATCAGAAGAACCCTGACATTTGGCACAGTGACCCAGATTTATCGCAGGTAAGTGAGGCACTGAAGGCAGGTGTGTGGCTGCCATTGGCTGCCAGCTGATCAGTAGAGAAGGAGCGGCACCTTCAGAAAGTGATAAAGTGCTGGTAGGAGCTGGAGACCCCTCTTCCCATTGCACGTGGAAGGGGGCAAGGGTCAGCTTGTCTTTTTGGTTAATCATCCTCGGTAAGTGTCTGCACTTAGGTGGTACCTAGGGGGTTCACTTTGCTTCCCCATATTATACAGCGTTCTGGTAATTTGCAATTATGTGCCCCATGGTTTTAATGTGATTCTTGGGCAATCCTTTAAGTATGAGGATTCTCTGAAATTGTGTATTACTTTTCTTGTACCACAGGGTGTATGTTTCATTAAGAATACATTTCCAAACGACGCTAGCTCTTTAAATAGCTGCAAAGTCCTTCAAAATTTTTCAGGATGTGTCTGGTTTTATTACAGGCTGACAGAATGTAACTTTTTCTATATATTAGATTCAAACAACCTCTTCTTCATGTTTCAGTTGTTATAATGCTGGTATTTAGAATCATAGAATGGCCTGGGTTGAAAAGTACCACAATGATCACCTCATTTCAACCCCCTGCTATATGCAGGGTCGCCAACCACCAGACCAGGCTGCCCAGAGCCACATCCAGCCTGGCCTTGAAACACAGCTTTGCTTTTTTTGTGGGTTTGGGTTTTTTTGTTTGTTTGTTTTTTTTTGTTTTCCTATCTATCTGAAGTGAAGGGATGCTTTTTTTTTTTTTTCTTCCCATTAGCATTTCCATCTCAAAACTGGCTGCATTTTAAAAAGCAGCACTTCTCTGTACATTAACCACAAGAAGCACCACTTCGAGTGGCTGCTGGTAGTTTTTTAAATTATTATTTGTGCTGCCAGCGCTGCTGAGGTACACGGGGGTGATGTTTTGCAGTCCCTTCCCTGGGCAATGGGGCTGGGCTCAGCCACTTCTGCCCCGTGGCAACCCCGAGTGGGACCGGCACGGCCACCCGTGCCGCCGCACGGCGAGTCGGGCTGCGGGGCCGAACGGTACCTCGAACGGGTGCTGGATGTGGTTATCGCGTACGGCAAGGGCTGGTCTGATGCTGAGGTCATCGGTACGCAGCGTGTGAGGTCCCGCCGGTGCAGGAAGGCTGCGTAAAGGAAGCACCGGTGGGTTTAGCGAAAGAGGTGGGTTCAGCAAAATAGGTCAAACTTACTTCCCTCCCCCTCCCCCATTACTTTAAACGATTCATTTTTAAAAGCCCGGCGGGGAGGCAGCACTTTACACGACAATGAGATGTAATTAATTAGCAGAAACCCAAAGCGCTCGCTCCTTCCATCCGTTCTGAGCACTTTCCCTTACGCCCTGTGTCTGAGAGCCGCGCATCCGGGACGATCTCACTCTCCGCGCTTCTCTCCCCGCAGAGCTACGAGGCGAGCAGCGTGCTGGGCAAGGAGCTGGGCCCGCTGCCCTGCCTCCTGCTCGGCGCCGGCGGGCGGCCCGGCTGCTCGCGGCTGGAGGAGGTGGCGCTGCTGCCCGCGGGACCCGGCGGGGCGAGCGGCTGAACGGGAGCGCGGTAATGCGGAGGGGAGCCGAGAAGGGAGGCCGTCAAACGGGGGGGTGTACGGAGCGCACAGAGCTCTGCTCGGCCGCCCCGGCTCTTGTGCTGAGCCGTTTGTTGTTATGGCACGTCGAACGCCTTGTTCTGGAGTTCCGAACGGTTGGGACGTTTTGTATTCTGTTATGTCAACGGCAAACACGTTACTGCCGCTTCTGCAATGAATGCCGCGGGGCAGCTCTGCCGGCGGGACCCACGGAAGCGGCTGGTTCCGAGCGGCGGTGTCGGTTACCGCCGGGTAATAAATGGCACTAAGACTTGACCAGCGCTTGTGTTGAGGTGTCCCGCATTCCGAGTCCGCGTGTTCGGGGGGTGCCGCGCGTCCCTGCGGCCGGCTAACATCGGAGCCCTGCCCTCTAGCTCGCCCGGGGAAGCCGATATGGGGGTCGGCGTAAGAGCTCGGGCTGAGGGTGGGTTTCGTAAACGGCGAGAGCGAAGGGCAGGAGTCCCTCAGTGCGGCGGGCGGAGAGCGGCTCCGTGCACACCCGCCACAGCGGCGTCGCGCCGCTCGCCCCGCGCCCGTTCCCTCACCTGGCCCGGGCCGGAGGGCGGCCCCGCCCGCAGCGCAGCGCAGCTCTGCCGCCGGCACAGCCCCGGCCCGCGGCCCCGCCCCGCTCCCTCGCCCCGAGCGCCGCGCCCGCCCGCAGCCGTACGGCACAGACGAGAGCGGAGCGTCTTTAAAATACTCGTTCGGTTTTATTCTTAAGAAATGCTGTAAAAATCGATATAAAAGGTCATGCTCGGTCCTCGCCGTCCTACCGCCTAGCGCACACGGGTGTTCGGATCGTTAACAGATGTACCATAGCTGCATCGGTTCGAGTAACACGTAGAAAAGACAGGGACTACCGTTACAAAAATAACTTAAGGGAGCGAACGAAAAGACGCGTAGCTTCGGTTCCTTTCGCTTCTTCGCGGCGAACGCCGCGGCCCCGCGCCCGGAGCGCCGCGCACCGCCGGGTGGGCCCGGCCCGGCACCTCCGCTCCGCTCCGCGCGGCCCTGAGGTAAGAGACGCCCGCCCCGCGGGCCGGCCTCGCCGCGCCGCTACCGGCAGTCGGAGCCCGCCGAGCCGGGCTGCAGGAAGGAGGCGGCGGGCAGCTGCTTGAAGAAGTGCCGCAGGCCGCTCAAGTCCCGGGTGAGCTGCTCGATCTTCTTGTGCAGCTTCTCGTTCTCGGCCGAGAGCTCCAGCAGCTTCTGCTGCATCTCCTGGTTGCGCCGCTTGGCCTTGTCGCGGCTCTTGCGCACGGCGATGTTGTTGCGCTCGCGGCGCTGCCGGTACTCGGGGCTGAACCTGTCCACGCACTTCTTGGCGCCGCGCTCGCGGGCGCCGGGCG